AGATGCTGATCTGTAAAGGTGAGGCGGCAAGTTGGAGAGCAGGAGTCGGGACCGCCAGACCTGCGTTATTGCTGCTCGGCACATCTCAGAGGTGGCTTTGTGTGTCTCGGTGGCGGTGCAGGTGGCAGGAACCTGATGGAGCAGTTGTGGCTGGAGCAGGTTGATCCGGTGCCCTGCCCTCATCCTCTGCCTTGAGGGTTCTCCTTATCCCTGGCAGCGCTTGTCCAGGGTGTGGGTGATGCTTCCAGGCGGTGCCCCTGGAGCCAGGATCCAAAACCCCATGACTCCTCCTCCCTTGCAGAGGAGGATCAACTGGTTCATGCCGCTTGGGACTCCTCGCCGAGGTGTGCACCCAAGCCATGGTGGCATGCAGGGATGTGACCATCACTGTTGCTTGCCCCCAAGAGCAGCACTGGCCGCTCCTGGCCCCCTTCCAAATGTCACTGAAAGGTCTCAGGGTCATCATTGGACATTGGGGCAGCTTTTGTGTGCCCAGGACTGCCCTGCTTGTCCGGTGCTGGGCTCTGCTTGAGCCCCGTCGCTCAACCGTGGCCTCCCCTCACAGGGCAGCAGGGGCTGCGGGGCTGGTAGCAGGCTTGGGGGCTGTTTGGGTGGGTGGGAGCTGGGGGATCTGGTGAGTGTGAGGCCACACTGCCGGGGGATGTGTCGCCGTCGGTCCTGGTGGTTTCCCAGCCCTTTCTGATGGATACTCTCTGGCTGCAGGCATGCCACGGGCAAAGCTCAGCATGGAAACTTCCTGGTGGCCATCAAGCAGGAGAAGGGAGAGTCGGCACGGACGAGCGGTGAGAAGCCGCACGGCGAGGAGGAGGTGAGCGCCGGTGCCCGCACCCCTCCCCGCACAGTCCCCAGGAGCGGGGTCTGTGTTGCCCAGCCTGGGGTTGTCCCTCCACTCGCCCTTCAGCAGCCCAGGCGAGCCTGTGGCTGCGGCCATGGCCCGACAAAAGGTCCAGACCTTCCCTCGAGGGGTGGGAGGCCCAGGCGGGTCTGCAGGCTGCTCCTGTGTCCTGCTGGCACGATGGCATTGTGCGCTCTGATCCATGACGGGTTGTCCCTTTCCCTTTGCTGCGTGCCAGCCGGTGAAGAAGAGGGGCTGGCCCAAGGGCAAGAAGAGGAAGAAGATCCTTCCCAATGGCCCCAAAGCCCCTGTGACGGGCTACGTGCGTTTTCTGAATGAGCGGCGCGAGCAGATCCGCACGCAGCATCCTGACCTGCCCTTCCCGGAGATCACCAAGATGCTGGGGGCTGAGTGGAGCAAGCTGCAGCTTTCGGAGAAGCAGGTACCGGTCCTCAGGAGAGACCCCCCCCAGGGCTGGTCAGCACGCTCTGGAGCCTGCACCCCAAACCACTTCGCTTGCTGCCTGGCTGCAGCTCCACAAAGGGAGCTTGTCCCAGTACTAGCGGGCTGGTGAGCAGGAGCTGGGCCTCAAGTAGTGGAGAGGGGTCAGCAGCCCCCCGGGGAGCCTGGGGCCGGGCCAGGCTGAGGACCCTCTGTGATCATAGCGGTACCTGGACGAAGCAGAGCGGGAGAAGCAGCAGTACATGAAGGAGCTGCGGGAATACCAGCAGTCAGAGGCCTACAAGATGTGCACGGAGAAGATCCAGGAGAAAAAGATCAAAAAAGGTGGGCTGTGGGAGCAGCGGCTGCCGGCATCGCTGCCAGGATCCGGCCAAGTGCTGCCAGAACCTCTCAAGGGATGCTGGGCTGGCTCCTAGGGGTAACTTCCTTCCTCCATTCCAGAGGACGCGGGCTCTGCGGCAGTGAACACTCTGCTGAATGGGCACCCGCACAAGGTAAGGCCCCAGCAGGTCTACCTGTGTGTGGGGAAACTGAGGTGCGTGGCACCACTGGGTTTGGCCCATGGGAGCCAGGCTGGCTGCAGGTTTGGGCAGAGGGAGACTCATGGGTTGTGCTTCAAGGCGCCTGCTTTCCATTGAAGCAGAGCCTGGAGTGGCAGGAGGCAGAACGTAGCCATCCTCTGCCCGTCGTCCCTGCCTGCCCAGGCAGGGCCACCCCTTGCCCTGTCTCTGTGCCTCCTTTCTGCCCAGTCCCAAGGAGACAGGGTCCCCTTCGGTGGGCTCAGCCCTGCCTGATCTGTACCCTCCCGTCCCCCAGGCTGGCGAGTGCAGCGACGCCTTCTCCACCTTCGACGTGCCCATCTTCACGGAGGAGTTCTTGGACCAAAACAAAGGTGAGGGGCTGGGCTGCAGGGTGGGGGCTGCTGGCGCTGCAGCATCTTGCTTGGGGGATGGCTTCAGCAAGCAGTGCCGCTGCCGGAGCAGCCTGCATCCCCCGGGGCAGGACCACGGCTGGTGCTGCATGCGAGATCCAGGCTGTGAAGGTCCCTGGTGAGGATGGATAGAGGGACCGGATCCTGGCTGGAGCCTGGGGGCTGGTGATGCTAAGCCTCTTGGAAGTCACGGCTGGGGAAGGGATTGGGTTTGGGATGAGGGAGAGAGTCCGAGGGGCTACCCCTGCTGACATCGCACGGTCCTGGCAGCTCGAGAGGCTGAGCTGCGGCGCCTGCGCAAGATGAACACGGAGTTTGAGGAGCAGAACGCTATCCTGCAGAAGCACACGGAGAGCATGAACTGTGCCAAGGAGAAGCTGGAGCAGGAGCTGGCCCAGGAGGAGAGGCAGACCCTGGCCTTGCAGCAGCAGCTCCAGTCCGTGCGGCAGGCCCTCACCGCCAGCTTCGCCTCCCTCCCCATCCCCGGTGAGTTCGGGGCAGCCGTGGGGACCAGCCTGCTGCTGGGACCTGGTGGCCATGTGGAGGGGCACCACTGGGGCTCTGCAAGTGGTGAAAGTGGGGGCAGCGAGGTGGTGATAAATGCCCATCTGCTGATGGGGTGGGATGCTGGAGCACTCTGGGGGGCTCTCTAGGGAGCTCAGGGATGTGACAGCCAGTTGGCTCCCCTGTAACAGGGTAGGGCAGGATGGGAACTGTCCTCTTGAGCCATAGTCACAGCTGTGCCCGCAAGGCTGAGATTAGCCCAAATTCTTTTGTTCCTGGGCTGGTCTTGGTGGGGGCTCTCTCTTGCTGCAGAAGATGGCACCTAGTGTTCAGGGACCCTTCCCCAGTCACCAGCACAATGGGCAGGGCTGGATGGGGACTTGCTGGCCCTGCTAACTGGGTTGCCACCTCATAGGCACTGGGGAGACCCCCACGCTGAACACTCTGGACTTCTACATGGCCAAACTGCACAGTGCCATCGAGAGCAACCCACTGCAGCATGAGAAATTGGTGGTGCGCATCAAGGAGATCCTGTCCCGGATAGCCAGGTGAGCTGGGCAGGACTGTCTGGAGCTGGCGCCCAAGGGCCTTCATGTCCTGGTGAGCACTGGGACCACTGGGTCAGCCTGTGGCACATGGGTGATGGGAGCTGAGCAGGGAAGGTGTGGGCAGAGAGGGGCTCAGAGCTGCTGCAGGCAGTTGTGGGAGAGAGAAGCCAACCCCCTGTAATTCAGCCTTGCTTTCTTCCCTCTTCAGCGAACACTTGTGAAGAGGACCAGTCCCGTCTGGAGCCTGGGGCCGGCCGGACCACGGCCCTGTCCCTTGGAGCTCACACAAGGGACAGTCTCTGCTGGTGGTCCGGCTGCTTCCCCCTCCACCCCATGCACCTTGCTGGAGAAGTGAGCTGGGACCTCCCCTAGCCCTGGTGTGGCTGGGCCCCATGGCTGCACTGTCTCCAAGGATCTCAAGCTTCTGGGGACCAAGCGGTGACAGGGCTGAGAGACCTCAGCAGCATGGTGCTGGGCGAGGTGGTCAGTGGTGGATGTGAGCATCCCCCCCCCACCCTGCTCTCCTGCAAGCTCTCCAGCTCCTGCAGCTCCGCTTCACTAAACCAGAGACTCCAAAGGCTATCCGGTGGCAGATGAGGTGCCTGTGGGTTACTGGCCTGGAGTGAGCCACCCTCTTCCAGGGTGACCTAGGGGCTGCTGTTAACCAGCCTGTGATGGAAGGGAGGCAGCCGGGTGCCCTGGGAGCCCGTGGGGCTTGGCGCTGCCTCCTGGCCCCTAGATCAGCCCAGGGAGCCTCTTGGTCCCCTGTCCCACAGCTGGTGAGGTGGCAGGCTTCTTTCTGCCTGCCTCTTTTACTTTATTTAATCTTCCCGCTTCCTCTTGCTGCTCCCCCGTGGGTCCCTTCAGCCCCTTGCCTGTGTCACCCTGCCTGTCACCTCTCCTTCCTCCACGCCTCTGGGACCAGGCAGGGCAGCTCCTGTGCTCTGCAGCGGTGAAGGCAAAAAAAAATCTTCATGCTGGAGGGGGAGCCGGGACCTACCCCTTCCTCCCCACGGTGGGGAGCCCGTGGGGCGGTGCACAGGCTTTCGGCTCCTGCTTCGTTGCCCGAGCCTGTCCTGCATCGTGGGACCACCGTGACAGCAGCTGTGTCCTGGCCGTGCTGTGCTGGGGTCGGCCGTCCCCGGGACTGCCTGTCACTAATCTCAGACTGTGTAATTAGAGAGTGTCTTATTTTCTTACTAGCACTACGTTGATCTGGCCCTGGGTTTAACCCGGGGCTGGTGTGCGACTGCTTGTCTCTTGCCCGTGAGGTCCGTGTTCTGTAGATGAGTCTCCTGGTTGCCATCTCCTGGTGGCTGCTTGGCTTGGGATGGAGATGGGAGCAAATAAATGTGGGAGAAACAACCAGCCCGGGCTCTGTGTGTTCATGCTCAGAGGTGGCTTTGGAGCTGCTCCCAGCACTGATCCCAGGGACTTCGGGGTGCGTAGCAAGGGTGACAGCCCTGAGCTCATTGCTGCAGCCCCCAACCCCAGCTGGGGAGAGCGCGATGGAGCCGGCTCTGTGCCGGCTGCTCTCCTACCTCCTCCAGCCTGGCTGGGGCCCTTCCTACATGGCAGAGCTCACCCGATCCCAGGCGGGTTACCTGCGCTGCCAGATCAGGTTCCCAGGCCTGGGGATCGCCTTACGGCCGTGCCGGGAGCCAGCACCCATCTATAATTCAGCAGTGCCGGCAGCGGGATGCGTCGGGCGGGCAGGCACAGCAGGCAGGCCCAGGAGGGCAGCCCCATGGAGAACGGCGTGCGGCAGGAGCCAGAGACCCCCGAGCCACATGCTGCCGAGGGCATCCCGGCCCCCCGCCCGCCCCGTGCCCGCCCCAGGCTGGTGTTTCACACGCAACTGGCCCACGGCAGCCCCACGGGGCGCATCGAGGGCTTCACCAACGTCAAGGAGCTCTACGCCAAAATCGCTGAGGTCTTCAGCATCTCGCCCACTGAGGTGAGGGGGCTGTGGTTGCCAGGGCACGGGGAGGGGGCTTTACACCCAAAGGGGGGGATGCCAAGCCCGTGGCACTGTCTGTGGCCAGCTGTCCTGTGGCTCCCCAGCTACTTGCAAACGCAGCTGTGAAAATGACCTGGAAAAGAGCATTTTTCATCTCAGGGCTGTCTTGTCTCCTCTGGGAAGTGGTTGGGTGGCTCCGTGCCTCAGTTTCCCCTCCTGGCACACAGGCAGGGAGCCTGGGCTGCCTATTCCCTGGCTGATGCCAGCTGCCGTGTAGCCTGGAGCCGAGGGAAAGGCGGACAGGGATGGTGCAGTGCTGGGCCCCTGGGCAGGCTGGGTGTCGCCGGACCCCTCTGCTCCAGCAGCACCCAGACCTGGCCGTATCTGGCCATGGCTGGCTCCTGCCCCGGCACCACCAATGCACCTCTGTCCTGCCGGGGTATCCCCAGCCCCTGGTGACGGGGTTCCCTGGGGCAGATCCTCTTTTGCACGCTCAACACGCACAAAGTAGACATGCAAAAGCTGCTGGGGGGACAGATCGGCCTGGAGGACTTTATCTTCGCCCACGTCCGGGGTGAGACGAAGGAGGTGGAGGTGACCAAGACAGAGGATGCACTTGGCCTCACCATCACGGACAACGGGGCCGGCTATGCTTTCATCAAGGTGAACCCTCCTGGGGGGCTGCTCTGGGGCTGGGGGCAGCCCTGGGGGCTGCAGCCCCGTGGGGTGACATCCCCTGCTGGCACCCCATCCCTGGCATGGTGCTCCTTCCCTGACTGCCCCCACTGCCATCGGTCCCCCCTGGGTCCACCCTGGCCCTGGGGGCCTTCCCCTACCATGATGCAGTTTGGGGGGGGGACACCCTCCCTGCCTGACCTGGTTGCTAAAGGACATGGGACCACGGAGGTGGTTTTGTGTGGGGCGGGATGGGGGCTACGATGTCTGTCTGTCCTTCCTGTGATGCCACCTTGTCACCGTGTGTCCCCCATCCCTTTCTATGGTCCCCAGAGAATCAAGGAGGGGAGCATCATCAACCGCATCCAGACGGTATGTGTGGGTGACAGCATCGAGGCCATCAATGACCACACCATTGTGGGCTGCCGGCACTACGAGGTGGCCCGGATGCTGCGGGAGCTGCCCCGGGCTCAGCCCTTCACTCTCCGCCTGGTGCAGCCCAAAAAGGCCTTCGGTGAGTCAGGGTGTGGGGTCCCCCTGCTCTTGCTCTGAGGACTGGGGGACCCCTGGGAGGAGTGTGGGGAGGCTGATGCTCTGTGGCCCTCCTGCCCTGCAGCCCCCTCCCCAGGGACTGGGTGCCCCCCAGGGTCCGCCACCCCTGTATGCAGCCCTGCCCTGCACCCCCATCCTGTGTGTACCCTGTACCCCAGGGGCACCCCTGCATGGCACCCATGTGGGCACCCCTTGGGGGGGGTCCCCACACCTGCTTCTCCTCCCTATGGGCACCCCCACTCCTCTGTGTGCACTGTCCTGGGTGCCCATGAACACCCTGTAACCGTGCGCATCCCAACCCTGCACCCATGGGTGTCCCTTATGCCCACGCTGCCCATGAGCACCCCCTCCCCATGCACGGCTCACCCTGCGGTGCCCACCCCGGGGTACTGCAACATGCGTGGGCTGGGGCTGGGTGATGGCCAGGACGAGGGGCAGGAGGTCCCAGGCCCTGCCTGCACCCTCACCCCCCCCTTTGCCTCCACCACCCTGGGGTGCAGACATGATCGGGCAGAGGACGCGGAGCAGCAAGTCCCCGGGCGAAGCCAGAGTCGTCAGCGGGAAGGAAACGCTGCGGCTGCGGGCGCAGGGCCCAGCCACGCTGGAGGAGGGGGTAAGACCCACCCAGAGCCCCCCCACCCTGAGCCCATGGATGCTCATGGCGTGACTGGGGTGGGAATGAGCATCCCCATGCCCCAGGTGAACACAGCACTGCACCTCCACTGGGTGCATTGCTGGGTGCCCACATGTGCGGCACCCGCGGGCACGGCTCTGTGGGAGTGTGGGGGGGGTCCCTGGGCCGTGCCTTCACCCCCTGTCACCCACCCACTGGACCTCTTGCCCCCAGCCCACCCCCTTCGAGGAAGAAGCCGCCAGCCGAGTGGATGATCTGCTGGAGAGCTACATGGGCATCCGTGACAGCGAGCTGGGTGAGCGGGCAGGGTGGGCAGGGGGTGCCCATCCCGGACCCTCTCCCACTGCTGACCCTGCCTCTCCTCCTCCCTAGCTTCGATGATGGTGGAGGTGGCGAAGGGGAGCCCCAGCGTGGCCCAGCTCGCCCGCGGCTTGGACTCGGTGCTGGGCGAGTTTGCCTTCCCCCAGGAGTTTGTGGCCGAGGTGTGGGCAGCCGTCTGCCACCCCAAGGGGGGGCAGGAGTAGCTGGGGGTGGCAGCACCTCTCGCCCCTGTCCCATCCCCATGTCCCCACGCCATCTGGGGCTGATGGTGCTGGTGGGGGTCACCATCCTCCCTCCCACTCCTTCCTGAGCTGCACTGAGGTGTGTCCCCTGGGTTGGGGGGGGACAGCGGGGTACGCAGCCCCCCCCCATCCCCAAGGACCCCCCCCCCCTCGCGCACCCTCAAAACGTGGTGGGAAGTGGCTGTGGCTCATTAAAGCAGAGACTGGAGGAGAAGGGCTGTTGCTCCGGCTGGCAATGGGGCTGGGGCCCCTGAGGTGTTCACCCCCAGCAGGCACGGAGAGCTGCACAAGCTATGTTTTATTGGGGGGGGGCTCACTCAGATGGGGACGGGGAGGGGGGAGCAGCCCCGTGCCCCCTGCCAAGGGTAGCGGGCTCAGGGGAGGTGGGGAGAGTCCATGGATGCAGATGATGGGGACAATTAATTAACCTGGGGGTGGGTGGAATGGGGGGATGGCTTGTCCCCCTCCCTCGGTGCATGTCCCCGGGGGCTGCTACTGCAGGACAGAGTCAGTGGTGAGCTTGCGGCGCAGGGAGGGGTTGAACATGGGATAGAGGGAGATGATGGAGGGCCGGGGGCGCAGGCTGGGGTAGATGCGCTGCAGCACGGCCCGTCGGAAGAGGATGTAGACCCAGGGGTCCAGGATCTGGTTCCAGGTGACCATACGGATGTAGATGAGCAGCATCTTCTGCGTCTCTGTGGGCAGCATCTGGATCCGGCCGCTGGCAGGCAGCTGCTGCAGGACTGTCTGGATGATGAAGATCTGGGAGGGGGGAAGGGGGCAAGGCGTCAGCTGGGGGGGTCCACACAGAGGCCATGAGCTGCCCCAGAGTGGGTGAGATGATGAGGGTCCAGGCAGGGCATCAAGCCTGTTGGAGAGGGGTCCCGGGCTGGTTTGGTGCACTCGCTACTGGGGAGCACCCGCTCTGCCTGCGAGCGGTGCTGAGCCCCAGAGCCCATCACCCAGGTGGCAACCCAGGGTGCAGAGTGGTGGCAGGGGCACACTGAGACCCAGGGCCTCACAGGAGGGACATGGCGGGGACACCAAGACTGAGGAGGGACACAGAGGGGGGGGAACACCAAGACCCAGGCCCTCACCAGGAGCACGGTGGGGGACACACACACCAAGGCCCAGGTCCTCACCAGGAGGGGCATCCAGCAGATGGTGGCAATGATCATGATGCCCACGAGCTGCACCATCATCTCCACCTCGCTGTCCCGACGCCGCTGCACCGACTCCCGGTCATGGTAGACGCGGCAGAGCGTCACCACGCTGACTGTGTTGAAGATGAAGGAGAGCAGCACGGAGAAGATGCCCAGCAGGGCGAAGAGCATGCAGAAGATGACATTGCCGGTGTCAGGCAGGAGGGTGAGGAAGCACCAGGAGCTGGGGTACTGCAACGTGTACCGCCCCAGCCCCAGCACCGGCAGCAGCCCCAGCAGGCACGAGAAGCCCCACACCAGTCCCACGATGGACCAGGCACGGCGCTTGGAGATGCTGGTGGAGCGGGAGAAGGGGTGATTGATGCCGAAAAACCTCTCGCCGGCCATGGTGGCCCCCAGCAGCAGCGGGCACTGCCCGAAGAAGACCATGGAGAAGCCGAGGAAGTTGCAGAGGTGGCAGCCGGGGTCCACCTCAGCCCAGGCGAACTTGATGAAGTGGTAGGGGATGATGACCGAGGCCGTCACCAGCAGCCCCATGAAGTCTGTGACCACCAGCCCACAGAGGAAGACAAGGAAGGAGGAGCGGGCCTGGCTGGACAGCTTGCGGGAGGAGCTGAGCAGGACGCAGAGGGCGAAGAGGTTGGAGCAGAGGCCGATGAGGCCGAAGGCGGTGGAGAACCAGGGCGAGGTGATGCTGGTCTGTGCACTGGTGCGGCTGTCGCTGGCATTGAACGCCCCAAAACACGTGTCCGACTGGCCGGCTGTGCTGCCGTTGGGGGGCTCCATATCCCCCCAGCCCATCCCACTCCTGGCAGCTTCAGGCATGCTCCTGGCTTGGCTCCATGGTGCGTGTCCCCCGCCGGTGCTGGCTCCAATCCCACCTTGCTCTGCAGGGACAAAGAGGGGGGGGAGTTTAGGGCTGGTCCCCCATGGCCAAGTCCACCCATCACCCACCCTGAGCCTGCAAATGTGGGGCACAGCTCTGGGTGCAGCAGCAGCAGAGGGCACCAGCCCCACAGCTGGCCAGGATTAACCATCCCTGGCTGCGAGCCATGTGGGGCTGTTGCCATGAGGCCGTAATCTGGTGTGGTGGGAGTTTGGAGAAGCACAGCACTGACAGCTCGGCTCTGACGGCACTGGCTCCTTCCTGACCCAGGGGGGATATGGCCAGACACCCCCAGGGACATCTGCCCTCTGCTACGGTGGGGGGGACCTACTCTGAAGGCTGAGGCGTGCAGGCACAGGGTAGCTGCACCAGGGCCTGATCCTGACACACTCCCCCATCCCCGCGCCTTCCCCTCCACACCGCCGGCTCAATGGGGAGAGGTCCTGTTCCTGCAGTGTGGTGGGGAAACTGAGGCACAGAATGGGATGTCCATGCCTGGAGCTGTGTGCTGCACCCCCTGGCGCCAGCACCGCAGCCAACCCACAGCCACAGGACACGCAGCTGGCTTGCACGTGTGACAACCCCATTCTCCCCCCCCCGCCGGCCCCACCGCAGCTGGAGTCAAGGGTTTGCCACCACGACGTTGGCCAGGTTGCTGTGGCAGGGTGAACGAGGATGGCTGCGGTCGTGAGCAGCCTGGTCAATGCCATGCTGGCTTGCTGGGCAGTGACCCAGCCCTGGGAAGCATCTGGGAAGCCCCAGGGCTGCTGCATCCATTGCTAAGTAGTCCAGGCTGCAAATGGGATGATGTGGGATGGGGCAGAGGCATGGCGACAGTGGGAACTGGACACCCTGGGGATCAGACCGCCCCCAGGGACCAGACCCCACGGGACCAGACCCTGACCGGGGACCAGACCCCTCCTCTCCTCCTGGGACCCATTTCTCCAGGCTGTGGATATCCTTGCCACCCTGCGCGCCCCATCCCCACACTGCTGGCTGACACCATCCCCAGCTCGGTGGCCCCCATGGGCTGCCCAGCTGTATCCTGACCTGCCGCCTCTGCGAAGACCCCACTTGTGGACCCCCTCAGCCACGGCGGGTCCTGGCACCCCTGCCTCCCCCTCGTGCAGGGTGGCACTGCCACCTGCCCTCCGTCCCCAAGTCAAACCTCGAGCCAGCCCCGATCGGCGCCAAACCCAGCGGCTGGTCCTGCACCCAGCCCTGCTCTGCATTCCCCATGTCCTGGGCGAGCCCTGCACCGTGTCCCGCAGCCTTGCACCCTCCACTCACCAACCCCTTTCCGGCCCCTCGTGTGAGGACAGCCACGGGGCCGGGAGCCGCCGCGCACACCCGAGGCACGCGCCCATCCCACAGCCCGTCCTGGGGCTGGGATGGGGCCAGGCGTTGCAACATCCTCCGCCGGGGCCGCATCCAGGCCGGCTGCAGGGCTGAGGGTGCTGGAACCCACCCGGCATGGCAGCACCCTTGTCCTTGTCGTTGGCCCCACCGTCGGCCCCGCAGCCGCTGGGGAGCGGGGAAGGGCCCAGGGCTGGCGGCGGGGGCACATCGCCATCGCCATCCCTGTCCCGGCACGGACAGCTGGCAGAGTGTGATGGTGATTCACCGCTGCAGCGCGAAGATGGCCCCGGCTTTTTCCATGAGACAAGCGTGAAAACTTGCCACTATTTGTTTTCTCCAGTCCCTGAGGGACAGCAGTGGCAGCCCCAAAGGCGTCAAGCCCCTTGAGACATGCGGTCAGACCTCAGTGTGAAGGTTCCAGGTCCCTGAGGAACCAGCACCCTTTCCTGTGTCCCTGGGAGGTGGCAAATTCCCACCCCCTGCCCCACAGTGATGCCACGGCTCGGAGGTCTCGCTCCGGCTGTCCCTTGCCATGTGCCTGCCCATGCTCTTGAGGTGCTGTCCCCAAGCATGTCCCCCCACCTCTTCCCTGCTCCAGGGTGGTCCCTGCACTCGCTCCAGCATGGCCTGGGGATCAGGAGCCCACGGGGCGATGTCCCCCTGCCGCTCCCATCACCCAGGGACTCAGAGCCATGGGATGTGCTTGCCTGCTGACCGGCTCGGTGTGGCAGGATCCGACCCCTCTCCCCACAGCGTCCAGAGGGGGGATCTCCCCATGGTGCCACCGTGGCCAGGCAAGGATGCACCAGCCCTGGCAGCTCCACGCCGCATGCCCCAAACCCCACCATCATCCACATTCCCTCCCTGTCTTGTCTTCCCCTCCTGCCCCAGTGCAACCATGACCCGGACCCTCACCCACCACTTGCTGCCAGCAGTGCTGGGGACACTGGGGACTCTGCCCCAGGACCGGGCGTGATGCTGGGGTGGGATCAGGGGCTGAACAGCTGGGTTCTGCCCTGTGCAGAGCTGCCTTGGCCAGCCGGCCTGGGACCGCACAGCACTTAGAGGGAATCAAATATTAAAGAGGGGCCATTTAGCACCAGCACAGCTGGGAGAGAGCTGAGCCCCCGCGTGCACCAGAGCAAACCAGAGGCACTTACGGGAAGGGGCTCATGTGAGGGCAGGGGGTCCTCACTCACCATCTCCCCCCATCGCAGCAGCCACCACAGGAGGATGCGTGTAGGGATGGCAGGTCCTGCAGAGGAGAGACCTTGAGCCCGGTGCCTGTCCCCGCCAAGCCTGTGCAGTTAGGTTTGGGGATACTGGCTCCGGAAAAACCCTCTCCCAGGGAGATCCCGCAGGAGCAAGGGTTTGGCTGTGAGTAAAGGCAAAGGGTGCTGGAGTAAAATCCTGGCAGAGAGGAGTTGTCTCCGAAATGGGCTGCTGGAGGCTGAGAGGCGCTGGCAGCAGCAGCGGGGATGGTGCTAATGGGGTTCTTGGCATCGCATGAGCCCATGGGCTGGAGTTACATCACAGATGCACCGCGGGCTGCCCTGCCTCTGCCGGGCACCGCTTCCTGCCCTGGCCACATCCGAGGTTAGCAAGGGAAAGGCGAGACGCTAATGGGGTGCACAGAAGGCTGCTCCTTATCAGCACCCCAGCCCATTGCTTCCCCCGGCCTCCTCAGGCAGGGCTGGGAACAGGGCTGATAGGATCAGGCCAGGGCAGGGGCTGAGAAAGGAGGTTTGCTGGGCAGCAGGGCACCACACGCCTGCAAAGGGACTCCAAACTGGGCAGCAGCGACTCCCCCTGCACCCCGTGTGCCCCCTCGGCCTGGGCTCTGCCCCCTGGGACGTGGTGCTCTGCTGCAGGGCAGCTGTGTAGAAGATGCTGCAGGGTGCTTTGCATCTGTCCCTCGTGTGTCCAGTCCCTCCTCTTTGCTTGCTGGACCTCTCCAGGGACAACCCTGTCCCACCTTGTCCTGGAAGGACAAGGACTTTGCAGTGTCCCGTCTGCCTCTCATCCCTGATGTCCCTTGTGCAGGTGGTCCCATGGGACGCCATCAGGCACAGCCGTTCCTGCCAGGGACCAACACTGTCCTACTGCCAACCATCCCCCAGGCTGGGGCTCTCTGGGCAGCAGATCAGCTCAAGGCCATCAAGCTGGGATGGGAAGGCAATGGCCACGTCATGGGGATGGAGAGCTGGCAGGGCCCCAGCGTCCTTTCCCAGACCCACAACCATCAAAGGGACCCGCTGCTGGGGGAGATGGCCTGGCCTGAAGCAGGGACATTTCTGGGATACCCAGGACAGAAGGGGTGACACACCAGCAGGGATGGTCCCTGCCACGCATGGTGGCTGTCCTCACCTCTCCCTGCTGTGGCCCACGGCAGAGGTCCCCAACCCCCTCACCCTCCGGGCTGACTGGGGGACGATCGGCACAGTCCCTGTCCCATCTTGTCCCAATTTGTCCCCGGAGCAGGGCAGGCGGTGGCGGTTGGGAGACCACCCTGGGGTGCAAGAGCCGGGGCTCGGCAGCGCAGCACCCTGGGGGGAGCCGGCAGCCAGGACCCCCCCCCCGCAGCATCGTGGCATCTTGGCCGCCCAGAATAGCCCAGAATAGCCCCGGCCCTTTCCCAGCAGCGCAGTGGAGCTGGCGGCAAACTTCGCCAGCGCAGCCCCCGGCCACCCCAGCCCGCTGCACCCCCATACCCCCCGGTAAACCCCGCTCGGAGGGGCAGGGGAAGCCCCGAAAGCAAATCCCGGTGCCGTTGGGGGAGCGTGGGACGTGTCAGCCCCGGACACCCAGCCCAGGGGACAGACAGCCGGCAGGGAGCGGCGGCACCGCATCGTGTCCCGTGTCCCCCCCCCGTGGGGTCACCGTTTCCACTCCCCCCCAAAACGCACCAGCAATTCGGGTTCCTGTGCAAACCGGGCGGCTGAGCCAGCCCTTATCGCCCCGGCCCAGCCCCGCGCAACCCCCCCCGTCCCTCCGTCCCGGCCCTCCAGTTCGTCCGTCCATCCCAGTCCCTCCGTCCGTCCATCCCAGTCCCTCCGCCCGTCCATCCCA